CAAAATGTGCTCATCACAAGGGAAAAACTCTAATGATCCTTTTTTTTTTTGCGGTACGCGGGCCTCTCACTGCTGTGGCCCCTCCCATTGCGGAGCACAGGCTCCGGACGCGCAGGCTCAGCGGCCATGGCTCACGGGCCCAGCCGCTCCGCGGCATGTGGGATCTTCCCGGACCGGGGCACGAACCCGTGTCCCCTGCATTGGCAGGCGGACTCTCAACCACTGCGCCATCAGGGAAGCCCTAATGATCCTCTTATAATCATTTTCAAAGGAAAAAATGGATAACCCTCAGCTTTATTCTGACATTTTCCCCCATTGATGCCAATCAAGTCATTTATTGGCTAATGTAACCAGATAGACTGTACTCATGAATATTTTGACACTTAAAGACAGATAACAAAGGAACAAATGTATAAGCTTGCCAAAGAATATAGAGACATGCTGAATAAAAGCCACCTTGGTGTTAATACACTCCTCCACTTTAAGAAAAGTGAAGAGGCCCAGAGAAAACTATGAGAGTTGAAGTGTAAATGTGACAATTTATATAAGATGTAAATTATTAATACACTTTAAGCTTTGTTAAAATTTTTAATTAATGTAATTAAAAATTAAATTAAAATATAGAAGTTAAGAATACTTTGAAAAATGATGCTGGCTGTTCAAGAAAAGAAATAAAATAAGAAAAATGAAAAATAAAATACTGAGGTAACATTTTGCCTGAGTAAATTGGCAATGATTTTTTTTTTTACTTTAAATATCATGCTCATTAACCAGAGCATGGGAAAACTGGCAATTCTCATTCTTTGTTGTTATGTATGTAAGTTGGTAGAAATCCTATAAAGAACAATTTAGCTATATCCATCAAAATTACAGATGCACCCTACTGTTTTACCCAGAAAGTTCCAACTTTAGGAATTAATTCTACTGATACACTCTCACTCATGCAAAATGTCTTTGAGCAAAGATACTAATTGAAGCCCTGCTGGAAATAAAAATAACAAAAATTGGAAGCAACTTAAATGTGCATCAGTAGAGGGTAATTAAATATATATCTTTAACTTATAAATATGGACAATGAAATGTTATATGGCATCTAAGACAGATAAGGCAGACAATTATGTAAAAGTTCATATGGTACAAATGTAATTACCTAACCAAAATGCAGAATAATGTGCAATATATAATTCTATTTGTGCATATATGCTTATCAGTGTACAGATTAACTCTAGAGGTATACATAAGAAACCAACAAAAGTGGCTATATGGGAATAAAAATCGGGAAACTTTTTAATTTATATCATGCACAAGTGTTACCAAGAGGGAGGATAAAAAAGAACAGAAAAGGAAAGAAAAAAAAGAAAAAAGACAATAAAATAATTTAAGAGAGAAAGAAATAACAAAATTAATTCTCTGTGTACAATTTAACATGGTTAATAAAGTGCTTACTACGTGAAAAGCAATAGGTCTATATTGGTAATTATTCTCTCCATTTTTGTAGGATTTTAGAGTTTGAAAGCATTTTCCCAGAGTTGATGCCAAGAGATCTATATTGCAAAACTTGGACCCATGCTGACTCATTGCCTAATAGTAAGGAAGTCGTTTTTATCTTTTTATACTTTTATATCTGACTCTTTGTACAATGATTATAAGACTTTTACCTTCTTTTCAAATCAAATGTAATGCCAAAAAATAAATCACAGAACTGAAAATTTTTTTAGCAAACATGCACCACAGTTCTAAAAATTGTTTCCTTAGGACCCTTAGAGAAGTAGAATATTTTCATGTTAATCCTTTCATTTCAAAGAATTATTTTCCTAAACCATTTCTTTGTCTTGTGTTTTCTCTGATTTTCATTCACATATTTTAGCTACTTCTGTTCTCACTTGAGTTTTTGTTGACAGACTTCAAAAATAGCATTTATTGGGCTTCCCTGGTGGCGCAGTGGTTGAGAGTCTGCCTGCCGATGCAGGGTACGTGGGTTCGTGCCCTGGTCCGGGAAGATCCCACATGCCACGGAGCGGCTGGGCCCGTGGGCCATGGCCGCTGAGCCTGTGCATCCAGAGCCTGTGTTCCGCAACGGGAGCAGCCACAACAGTGAGAGGCCCGCGTACCGCAAAAAAATATATATAGCATTTATTTAGCTCCTTTTGCCAGTGCAGTGAGTTACTTAACTTTTTAACCATGGACAGTCTAATCCATGTAACTACAGTGTGCCTGCCTAGCCACTCCTTGGGTTCCCTGGAGATACTCTGTCTCCTTATAATCTCACCCTATTTTCGTTTCAGATTCCCACCAAGCCAGGTTCTCATTCAGACTGTTAGTTCTGCTAAGGCTAGGAGCGCTGTCAGCTCTAATTAGATTCTATTCCTCACTACAAGCCTACTGTGGAATGTGCTTCCATAATAAAATTTAGTCTGAAATAGACTGTGTGCTAAAGGTCAAGCTAAGATAGCCTTTGGCTTCCCCCTAGATTCTAAATTGATTTTCTAGTTCATGAATCTCCTCTTTTATATTTGTTTGCTGGATGGCATGACCTTAGTGGAAAAGAGTTATGATAATCCACCCATCTAGCGCCATTGTTTCTGGTGGCTTTACTTGGGATGGGCTGGATTCTGGGAGTCTAAAATCCTTGCTGCCCTAAAATCAGGTAATCAAGGTCATTGTATCTCTTTGTCAGAGACTCCTCTGATACCTTTTCCCTTAATCATCTATGCAGACCCTTTCCCTTTGGTTAACATAGAGTTCTACTCTTGGGTTTGTCACTGACACACGTCTGTAACACTGGCATCACAGGGGAATGGGGCAGCTCTTCAGGATATTGATTTGCAAGAGAAAACTAGGATCCCAGTGAGTTCTCGGAGATTATAGTAGAAGTGACTCTCAATTAACAGGCTTTTAAGTACCTATTATGTAGACTCAAATAGCATATAATGTAGTTGGGGAGATGAGTCATGGACTCATGATTAGGCTAGGGAAAGCAGTAAATGCCATGTGCCAAATAAATGGTACATATATTAAAGTATTATGGGAGCCCATAATCAGATAGCAACCACCTCCAGCTGGGATAAGCTTGGAAGACTTTTTGGACAATTTCGATTGAGTTTTCAAAGATAGGAAGGATTTATGCCATTGAAGTGAAGAGATACTACTGAAGGAGGAAAAGGCATAAATCAAAAACAAAGTATAAAATAGGTTTGGGATGCACTGAGCACACACAATGGCTGGAATGGAGGTGTCTCGCATATGGAGGTCAGAAGGCTTGTCATACTCAGAGACCCCTTCTTTAGGAAACTGCCCAGCCCATAGCCTTCTGCCCAGGGAAGAAGCCACAGCACCATGCCCCGCCCCCCCGCCCCCGCCTTTATGTCTTAATTGCATGGATGGGCAATCACTGGTGAAACTGGACTTGGGCAAGTGACTCAGAAGCAGCCAAATCAATTAGCACAGTGATGTCCTGAAATGATAGTCTCTGTCCAGAAGAGATGAGAGTGCTTAGCTGAGTTATTCATACCAGCTGCCTTTGGATTTTTTTTTTTTTTTTTTTCGGTACGCGGGCCTCTCACTGCTGTGGCCTCTCCCGTCGCGGAGCACAGGCTCCGCGGATGCACAGGCTCAGCAGCCATGGCTCACGGGCCCAGCCACTCTGCGGCATGTGGGATCCTCCTGGACTGGGGCACGAACCCGTGTCCCCTGCATCGGCAGGTGGACTCCCAACCACTGTGCCACCAGGGAAGCCCTGCCTTTGGAATTTGAAGACTGATCATATGATAGCAAAGGGAAACAAAGATGACATGACAGAGGGACCATACAGGATGATGACCCTTCATCCACTCTTCTTCTATCTTTTTTTTTTACATGTTTTAAATTGAGATATAGTTGATGTACACTCTCCTTATATCTTGAGTTTCTCTTTGCATCTACAAGGAGTATCCCAGGGCATCCATATTTGAGATGGGGAGGTTAAGGATTATGGGGCAAGGCCCTGGCCTTAACCATGGCCTTGGAATTTGCAGAAAGATCCATAATGCCTCATTTCCCCCACCCCTATGGCTGAAGAAAATGTGAAAGTGGGCTAACATGAGGGGAAGATGGAGGTAGGATGGAAGCTTTGCTGTCTTTCAACATATGAAGCTTCTTTCCAAGTTTACAAATTGCAGGATTTAATCTGTTCATAACTAGCATTACCTGGAGGTAGACATATCTCCATTTTCATTCAGAGAGAGAGTACAACCCCCAAATCTGGAACCTGAGTGCTTGGAATTGAACCCCACCTTCCTCAGTATCAGCTATATAACCTAGGGCAAGTTATTTTGTTTCTCTGTACCTCAGTTTCCACATCTGAAAACAATAAGGAGGAGGATAATAATCATATCTGCCTTATAAGGTTGTTATAAGAATTAAATAAAGTGCATGGCACATAGTAGGAACTATATAAACACTGTTATATAAACTTAGCATATTTTTACTTCCAAAGATTCTATGTAAGTTCAGTGGGTACTGTATGTCCCCCAGTGTAGGCCCCTATGGACTTAGGTAAAACACTTAGGATCATTTTCATAATGAATAAATGATATGATGGTATAAAGAGTCCTGTTTGGGTACCATGCTAGCATAATATAACAAAAAGATAAATTAAAGAACAGGGTTCTAGAATTTCTTTCTTCCCACAATACTGAGCAGCAGGGAGAGAAAACTATGGGACTTTGTGTGGAGAATAGGAGGCCCATACAGGGACACAGTTCCAGGTCATCACAGCACCCACTGCATCTTCTCTGTGTGCCCATACCTAAGGTTGTGCCATGCAGCATGTTTGAATTGAAGGAGAACATTGCAGGCGACTCCATGCTTTCTTTGCAAGGAGAATACAAGGGCCAGCAATACAGAGATTACATCAGTGAGGCATTTTTAAAATCACTTGCTATTTGAAATTCTCTGAAACAAAACAAGAAGAAAAAACAATAGCCATACCTAAAATGCGTGCCTCAGCAAACTGACAATCACTGCCCTGGCACTGACTCTGTCCGGGTAATGGGAGACCGCAACGGGACGCCTGGAGCCCTGCAGCTCTGAGATGGAGAGAAGGTTCTTTCACAGCAACTCTGGAGAGAAAGAGAACGAGAGAGCAGAAGACAGTGATCAGCAGATTTCCGATGATGGCTGCGAGAGACAAGATCTCAAATGCACCGGATTTTAATGCCAATCTGCTTTCCAGTCTCATCTAACACACTTGAGTCTCACATAGGTCCGTCTTTCTTTTCAGGCTCCCAGGGGGAATTGTTTCTGCCTTTAGATCCCTTTTAGCCTTCTTTTGTTCCCACACACCTAAGGTCTAGCAAAAGCCTTACTTCTTGAGCATTTGTCCCAGGTGTGCTCTCAAAACATCCATTGTCTCGATCTTAACATTGCAGATCAAAGCAAGATCTTTATCTCCTTGAATCTGCTCTATTTTAAAAACCTCCTTCCTCTTCTGGTTTCAATTGTCCACAGTCTATTCAAAACACTTGAAAAGACTTCATCTTCCCAAGCATCACTTTATCACAATATTGCCTTTTCTTAGAATCCTATAGTTGCTCTTTATTGCTTCCTGAATCCCATTAATATCTAAGACTAGGGGCTTCATTGCCTTCCAACTGCTGGACCTCCCATCCTCTCACATTTTATTCCAACCCTGACTGCCATGTTTTCTATTACTTTCCCATTCTGCTGCCAGCAGAGTTTTTTATCCTCCTCTCATTCCTCATCACACATGTGACATCTTCCCTTTGAACACAACTGTCCTACTCTTTGCCCAACCATGTCTTGAAAAATCTTCAATATGATGGCTTTCACTCAAAACTTATAGTTTTCCCAAACAGTAAATAATTTTTCTTCTTTCTTCCTCAATTCCTGAGAATTCCACCATTGTAAACACAGAGGAGGATGAAGACAATGATGATGGTAACTTTAATGAAAAAAATAATAACAGCTTGTGTATGGCTAGAATTTTGCAGTTTGCATAGCCATTTCACACAATCTTATATTGTTGCTGTTCCTGTTATTATTATTTAGTTAGCAGAAACTATGTCCAAAACTCTTTTTTTCCTCACATCTCCCTATATTTCACACAGTGGTTCATATACATGGAGTAAAAGAAAGCTAGAAGGATAGACTGAGTTTTCATTGCATAGTTTTAGAAAATAATTTCCCCATGATGCCTCCTGTTTTCTCGCTTTGCAAGCTGGGATGATAAATAATTTGCCACTCTCTTCCCTCTACCAGGGGAGCTTTGAGGATTAAGGGTAGAATTATGAAAATGACTCATTTTACAAAGTGACCAAGAGAAGAAGTGGAATTCAAGGGACTCATGGCCCAAAGGGTCACGATTTGGGAATCATGCCCCACCCGGCATATTCCTTCTGCCTCTTTCCTATATCCATTCCAGCTTTAAGAGTATGAAGCAGGCACAGCAAAGAAAAGCTATCCCAGAACTCTTGAGCTTTTATCCTAAAAATCAAGACACACACTGGCCACGAGTTAAGCTGGCCAGTAGATTTAGCAGAAATATATATTTCTGCCATAGTATCTAATTTTGGCATAGTATATAATTAACTGTGCACATAATTCAGACCCCTGAGGCAACTTCCAAATAAATGTTCGTCATTTCCACAGGCATTAACACCTATTACTCTGCGGAGAAAAGCTCCAAGAAAAGATAATCTTGGTTTTGCATCGCTAAAGCAGCACTCTGAAATAAAATATTTGCTCTATTTCGGTATTTATTGAGAAATGTTTATATTCTGGGTATCTTTTTTCTAAACTACTGATTTCTTCCTCTTAATTTTGCAAAGTATTTAACGTGCAACACCGTGGGATGCCCCTTTTGGAGAACAGAACAACCTTGCAGAGCGGCCAATTAGTGCCACTCGGGGCATTTTTACAGCACTCGACCTTTTTTGTGCTTTATGCTTTTTCAGAAGCTACTTTTTATTTTAGGGCAATGAAACTAGACCCAAGGTATATTTAGACAACCATAATGAGGGTTTATCACAACTGGGGGAAAGTGAAGAAATGTAGTAGAGGAAAAAGGAGGGAAAAGGTAGCCAACACAAAACGAGCACAGACACGGCACCTGATGTGATGTGAAGTATTTTATTTTAGTTATTTACACGGTTAACATTTTATTTTGAAAATTTTGAAAGAATAGTCCAATAAACACATATAATCTTCACTTATATTCATTGACTGCTAACATTTTGCCCGATTTGCATGCCATATCTGCACCATATATATATATATATAGAGAGAGAGAGAGAGAGAGAGAGAGAGAGAGAGAGGGAGAGAGAAAGATATATATGTATATATATAGGACATATATATGTTTTATATAATACATATATATGTAGAGAGACATATATTTATGAGAGAGAGAGAGAGAAACACATGTACACATACACATATTACCTGTGTGCATATATATGGCACATTTTAAAGTAAGTTGTACATAACACTTCACCTCTAAATACTTCAGCATGCATCTCTCAAAAAACAAGGATGCTCTTCCACAAAATCTCTGTATCATTATCACACTCTTTGGCCATATTAAGTTTGATCTCTTGGATATGTGTCAATTGTAAGATCACTTGTAATTTCTCAATTGTAAAAATACATTTTTCCTGACAATTCAAATGTAATATGGGGGGGAGGGCAGTGCTACTTTGAGAATATCACTTTCTTCAACAATGTTTCATCTGTTTTAAGCATCAATTGATGACCCTGAATTATAAAAATATGATTCCAATTTTACCAATGAAGAAGCCAGGTTTTACCTTCTTTTTATTAACTAGCTAACATGTAGCTGAGCCAGCCTTCAGACCTACCCAGGGCTATAGATTCATAATCAGCTGCCCTCTGGGGTCATGCTGCCTCGTTAAGATCTTGGTAAAATTGGCCCCAATTCCTATAACACAGTTCAGAGAAAACGCATTGCCTTTTTTAAGATTCCTGTAACTTCTTCCGGGACTTACACTGTCAGGGATACTCCAGCCTCCTGGCCCTGATGAATCGGAGCTTCCTGTTCCATGCTAACCCAAAAGCTGAGCCCAGTTTTAGTTTCTTTCCTTGATTTCTATATTAAAAGAGCTTCTGAGTGGGTAGTAGACTTTCGTGAAGAGATGTTAAAGGAAAAGATTTACTTTGCCTCTTCACCAAAAATCTAGAACTGAATATTAGACATTTCTATTCTAAAAGTCATTTGTCTCGTCTCCATGTCCCTAGCCTCACCCACCCCAGCTTCTCAGTATTCTTCTCAATGTGAACACAAAGATTAACTTCCTCTCATATTTTTATGGAGAATAATTCAGCACTCCCCAAGCCCTTATAGTAAACTCCGCTGTTCCTGCTTCCCTATGCGTATCCAGACTCAAAGATTTAAATTACACCTGATCAAAATGTGATCAAGCATTGAGCTTCCAATTCTCTCTCAGTCATTCTGAGGGGGACTGCAGGAGGCAGAAGGAGTGGAATTCTTGTTACACGATATCTTAGGAAAATCAACCAATTAGCCTAAGGCCTTAAAATAAAGTCAGAGCCTAGTTTATATGCCTTTGAGTTTCCATGGAGATAAAACATTAACTGGAATGGGCCACTGTGAGGATGGTAAGAGGTTGACAGTCTCAGTAAAAATGATACAAGTGTTGGGTTTCATATTTACAGTAACTGGTTTGGGGCTATACATGGAGTTACTCTTTCCCACAGAAGAAAGTGGCCCTTACATGCATAAAAAGAATAAGAGAAAGGGGAATTTTCATAGAGATATAAAAGAGTAAATATAGATACTTGGGAAGCAATACCAAGCTAAATGAGTTATCTTCTGCCTTTCAAAGAATCAAGACAGGATCTTGTAAGAAGAGAGAAGCACCAAATGTCCCCAAGCCAGACGGAAACCTCCACCATGTCCTGTTAACATATGAGAAAAGAAAGATATTCAAGATGGTAGGAGAATTAGCAATAGTCGTCTTAATTTTGTAAATATTTTTAGAATGCTTTATGAGATTAATCATTTTTTAAGCAGGTTTTTTGTTTGTTTGCTTGTTTAACCACAAAGACTATAATACAGGAAAAAATACCAAAACTTTAGGCAAATTCTATGCATGTTTTAAACTTTGTACACACATCTATGGAGACCTTTGTGGGTGTTAAATATGAATACGTTTTATTCAAATGATATTGCCAAAGTGTTCCCCCAAACAGGACCTGTTCCCAAAACAACCAACTTTCCCAAAGCAGCCATTTACTCCAGCCTTTTCTTTTATACTGTCCAACCTTGGGTCATCAGTCTGTGAAGCATCCAGTTCATTTCACATACAACCTTTTACTGCTTTGAACTTGAGAGCACAATGTCAATGTCTATATTCTGTTTTGGAGTGGAAGAGACTACAAAAGATTTTGCAATAGGTTACCCCATCAGCTTGTCACAGGAGAACAAACACAACTTGCGGCAAGGGACAAGGTCCCTGGTTCTGTCTGCACAGCTCTGAGAGATGCCACTTGGCGATGACTTCGCTTTGCTTCTCTGCAGCCTGTCCATACCCACTACCCACCTCCTCTCCCCTCCCAGTTCTCATATCTCTTTTTTGTCAACCATTGGCTGCTTCCTAGCTTTTTTTTTTTTTTTTTTTTTGTGGTACGTGGGCCTCTCACTGTTGTGGCCTCTCCCGTTGCGGAGCACAGGCTCCGGACGCGCAGGCTCAGCGGCCATGGCTCACGGGCCCAGCCGCTCCGCGGCACGTGGGATCTTCCCGGACCGGGGCACAAACCCGTGTCCCCTGCATTGGCAGGCGGACTCTCAACCACTGAGCCACCAGGGAAGCCCTGCTTCCTAGCTTTGAAAGAGTTTTCTGCTCTGCGGTCAGGCCTGTGCCAGAGTTAATAAAGGTTTCACCACTGCTGTGCCTCTCTGTTCACACCATCTCAGGAGAAATAACTCAGACAACAACTGTTCTGAAGAGGAAAAGAAGAAAAGCCAAAGAGAATTAAACTAAACGTAAGGCACTTGTCTTTTGAAGATCTCCTCTCCTTTGCCAGGATCAGGATGAACTATTTCTTCCCACAGCACCCCTCC